AGGCCAAGACCGGAAGATTGCAAATTGGAGCCCAATCTAGGCAAATGAGCAAGTTAGTGAAACCCTGCCTCAAAATAAAAAAGGGCTGGGGCTGTAGTTCAGTGAAAAAAAAAAATTCTAGTCTGTGGAAAATAATGACAATGTAAAGTGAAAAAAGCAAATATAAAACTATATTGTAATAGTTTGAGGCCCAATTTTCTGTGTTTTTTTGTTTGTGCATGTGAGAGAGAATACGTGTGTATGTCAAAGAAAAAAAAAGAGATGAAAGGAAATTTACCAAATGGTTATGGAAAAGGTTATGGAATATGGATTATTTTGTCTTCTTTGTAAATTGTGGGGTTTTTTTTTTGCAGTTTTCTATAATGAACACATATAATTTTTCATTTAAAAATATGTATGCATGTCGGGTGTGGTGGCACACACCTGTAATCCCAGCACTTGAGAAGCTGAGGCAGGAAGATTGCCATGGGTTCAAGGCCCACATGGACTACATCGTGAGTTCAAGGCCAGCCTGAAATACATAGTGAGACCCTGTCACAAAACAACAACAAAAACCAAAAAATAGGCATGCATTCATACATATGGAAATAAAACAAGAAATACTAAACCTATACATATATATTTTCTCTGTCTATATATCTATATATACAGATATATATATCTATATATATCTATACATATATATACAGATATATAGATAAATTTTAAAGATAAATTTGTGCCAGGTGTGGTGGCACATGCTAGCTATTTTAGGAAACTGAGACAGGAGAATTGCAAGTTTGAGCTCAGCCTGGGCAACTTAGTGAGATCCTGTTTTTAAAAAAAAGGAAGAAAAGAAAAGTGCTAGGGATGCAATACAGTGCAAAGGCCCTGGGTTCAATCCTAAGTATGGGGGAAAAAATTTTTGCAAGTCACTCACATGGAGGTGATAGTTGAAGTCACAAAAATAGATCAGATACTATACGGTGAGAACATAATGAAAACAGGATTCTGGAAAGGGCTATGGCCAATATCCATATTTAAAGGGCAAAAAGCCTGAAGTTGAGAAGAGTGTGGGAGGAAGTAGATTAACAGATGGAGAGCCAGGTAGCTATGTCCAAAAAACCAAATGAAAAGAACCAGACAAGTTGTTCTCTTGGTCCAATACTGTCAAGTGGGAATAAGGAGGACAGTGGCAGGGTCCTTTGAGGGAAACCATGGATACTCCGCTTGGACAGACAAGTTTCCACTAGCACTGGAGGTGGAAGCCAAAACGAAGCATATGCTACATGTTCAATAAAACTGATTATGAGGAAAGAAGACCTGGGGTATTAGCTTAAATTTCAGTTTACAAAAAAAATATGGGACTGGGGCTGTAACTCAGTAGTAGAATGCTTGCCTGGATTGAAAAAAAAAAGGTGGTGGAAATCTAAAACCAAATGAAATCATATTAGAATTACTAATTCATAGGTAATGAAAGACCATTAGCACACTTTAGGGTGCAAGACAAGATACGTTTGAGAGAGTATAAAGTTTTCCATATCATAAACTCTGTTATAGAATATATAAAAGAAAAAATAGTTCCACTTTTGTGCTCTGGATAACAAAAAAGTTGCACCTTTAAGATAAAAGTATCATGGTAGCATTAAGAGATTCTTTAAAAGAAAATCAAAAGAATGTAAAATTCTACGGTATCATGCTGATGATGTCTTACGAGTAGACGTGAAGTTTCTGAAAATGTTTTCAAGTATTAAATCATTTGACATGGTGAAAAATGGATTGCTTGTTGGGTCAGACGTCATTGTTTTTATGAAAAGAGGTCTGCATTAGCATAATAATTTGAGTTTCCAGAACTATGCATCCAGTCACTGCATAAGTACATCAGATGGTCCTACCAAGAGCACCATTTACCACAGAATCTCAACTCCAAAATCATTAAGTAGTAACTAACTGAAAAACCACTAGTTTGTAACTAAAGAACCGTAAGAACCTGTGCTAAGTAATTTAACCTCACATTCAGACTTCTGTACATAATCTAAATGAAATATTTCAACTTCCTATCAAAAAACATACAGGGAACAGCTAGGTGTGATGGTGTACACCTGTAATCCCAGCAATTTGGAGGCTGAGCCAGGAGGATCATGAGTTTGAGGTCACCCAGGGCTACATAACAGGTTCAAGCCCAGCCTTGTAGGATCCTATCTCAAAACAAAAATAAAAACAAAAACATTCAGTGAGAGTTGAGCATGTGGCTCAGTGATAGAGCACTTGCTTAGCACATATGAAGGACTGGGTTCAATTCCCAGTACCACAAACAAAACAAAACTAGAATACTATATGGTGAAAGGTCAAAAACTCTTTAAAAAGTATTTTTAACAAAAAAACCACTAAACTAGTCTTTTCTTATGGAAATTATCAATTAGGGACTAGGTTGTATACTTTCCTATCTATAAATAGGTACAATTCCAATCTAAATGAAAGTCATTTATCTTGTAGTCTATGGAATTAAGAAAGTCTGAAAATCAGTTTTAGTTTTACTGTAACTTAAATGACAAATCGTTCCAATTTGTGGCTAGGTGGCCATTTTATGGCAAAGATGTCTAGTGATCTCCCATACCCTCAACATTGTTTTGTGTCTGTATGTGTCTTTGATGACTTTTTCTAGAATAATGTATCTAATTATAATTAATTTGTGAAAAAATGGCAAAGGAAAGCCAAGAATTTGAAACCCTAAAAGAAACAAACATTAAAATTACATTTGAAAACACCCCAAGAAAACATCATCATCATTATAGATACCCAAGGGGCTGGGGATTTAGCTCAGTGGCGCTGCCACCTGACTCACAAGTGCAAGGTCCTGAGTTTGATCCCTGGTACCAAAAAAAAAAAAATGGATTATAGATACCCAAATACATGTAAATATACTTGCTATAATTCCAAAATTTCTGGTGGAAACCTCTTTCCTGGAGCATAAACAGAAAGAAAGGAGATAAGCAATGTCAAAGAAATGTGTTCACCAAGTGACACTGCTCAAATTATCAACTGAAACAACCACTATATATATTATTAACTCAAAGGCTCTATTTGAAAAACGAAAAGCAGCTGAATGTGTTGGTGCATGCCTATGATCCCACCTACTTGGGAGGCTAAGGGAGGAACATCATAAGTTTGAGGCCAGCCTCAGCAATTTAACAAGACCCTGTCTCAAAATTTTAAAAAATTTAAAAAATAAAATAAAATAAAAGGGCTGGGATGTAGCTCAGCACTCCCTGGTTCAATCTCCAGTAATAACTTTAAAAAAAAAATCGTTCAGAAAGTGAACGCATCCTATCTATTCTCCATATATTAGAGCACTGGCAGTAGGCAGTTAATAAAAGCATCCGGTTGTATGAAGAGCATTCAAAGACCACTGTAAATATCACATCATCAAAACTGTGAAGAATCTTTAAACACTCTGACACTTTCCTCCTTACCCACATACCTACCCTGTTTTCTCCATCTAAGACTTTTTTTAAGTGCTAGGGATTCTGCCACAGAGTCACACTCCCAGTCAAAAAATATTTTCAGGTGCCTTAATAGGGAAAAGTACCTGTCACCAAGATATGCTGTTAGTAGAATTGTTTTTACTTCTGAAGCTTTCTCTTCCTAGAATTATTAGGTTGAAACTTGACCCCACCTTTAATCAGAGTCTGGAACAACTTCTTGAATGCACCAAGTTAAACAAAATTATACAATGAGGCAATTTTTACAAAATGGTACTACTTTGTTAATGTTGCAATATACTGTTCTCAGATGCTCTACAGATCAGGGGCTACCTTATAACACTTTCCAGCCTAATACATTAACAGTAAAAACAGTTTCACCAACTGTTTACTGAACTGCCAGGGAAGTAAACAGGATCTAATTCCATCTTCAAAAGGCTACAGTTGGTGGAAGACAAGGTACAAATGTACTGAATATATGAACTATAGAGAACTATTCACTATTGCTCAAAGGGTTTTTTTTTTATATTTGTTTTTAAGGAAAAGCAGAAAGGAGAATTAAAAAACAAAACCCTATATTTTCTGTGTTCCTTCAGCATCCTGGACTGACCTCTAGCATAGAACTCACCCTACCAATACTGTAAATTGTATGTTTGGCTCTGCTTTACCCATTTGATTTTAAGCTCTTTTAGAATAGGGTTGTTTGTATGTTTGACATTCACAGTAGGACTGAAACAATAGGCACTCAATAAATGTTTTGTTTAAAAAATAAAATAAATTCCTAAAATAATTAGGCAGTACTACATTATGTGTTGATCTATCAATGCAAAACTACACACACACACATATTTGCTTTTTCTTCTGCCAATTTTATAACTTTCTGAAGGTCTGTCTAAATCATAATCCTCCTCCTCAAGGTTATAACTCCACAAGAACTTAGAAAACGTTTGTTGAGGGTCATTATCTTCTGTATCTATATCAGACCTCAGTTCCTGAAACATCTATCATTTGTTAATAGCATTATTTGCTACGTGGATAAAAGTATTCCATTTAACCATTTAAATCAAGAACAAAAGACTAATGCAAAAGAAGACCTCCCCTTTAAAGGGGAATTGGCCAGGCATGGTGGCACATGCCTGCAGTCCTAGCACTTAGGAGGCTGAGCCAGGAGGATGGACATGAGTTCCAGGCCAGCCTGGACTTCATAGCGAGTTCAAGGCCAACCTGAACTACATAGTGAGAACTTGTCTCCAAAAAAATACAATAATAAAGAAAAGGGGAGTCATCTTAAAAATTGATACAGTAACTTCCTAAATGCCTCTGACTAACTTGAAAAGTCAAGGTGAGTAGAATCATGCGGATTAGGCAGATTTTTGAAAGTTGGAATTAAGAACAGGACAATAGTAGTTCAAATATCTTTCACCAGGATCAGTTCAACTTCTTGTTAGCACCAATAAGAAGGCCAGGAAGGGTGCCAGATGGTTTGCTCCTACCACCGACGTCAAGCTTTATTATGTGTAGACAACGGTGTACACTTACCTTATATGGACGTTTACATTTGTGAGTGAAGGGTGCCAGCACAGGTATATGACGGTAACTGGGGGACTACACATCAGCTGCAAGAGCTGCTTCTATTTTCTACAGCTCAAAAAGGTCTAAGAGTCTTAAACAGGGTTGAGCTGGAGAAATGGAGAGGAGAAAAATTGAAGATAGAGGGAATGGTCGAAAACATGGGATCAAGAACAGTTGAATATTAAAATATTTCCCTAAGAGGGTATTTTGACTTTTGATGAACTGCCACTTTCCTCCACTACTCCAAAAAGTATACGGTTTAAAAGGAGTCTCCCGATGCCTAGGAGCTCCCGCCCTCGGGTAGCAAGAGTTCAGCCCTACACATCACTCCGTCCCCAGCGCAGCTCCCAGAACAGAGAAAAGAACGGAGGATCAGTGCCTCCTCGACCCCCAATCTCAGGGGGTGGGGCTCACGGTCCTTGTACTCCGCCCGCCACAGAAGTCGCTGAAGAGCGTGTGGAGGAGAGCTGTGGTGTCCGCGCATTCTCGGGCTGTGGAGGATGTGAAGAGAGAAGGCCCTTACCTGGCTCAAGGAAGTCTTTTCTTTGCGCACGTCCTGCCTTGGTCCCGGGCGCTCTGCCTCGCGCACCTGTCGCGACTGAGCGACTGCACCTACAGCTCCTGCGGCCCCGCCCCGGTCCGGCTCCGAGCCCCGCCCCAGACCCCGCCCACTTCCGGGGGCGCGCACGCCGGCCCGCCTCCCGTGTGACCTCGGGGCAGGCGTGCGCGCCCGCTGGCTACGTGTGCTGCTCTCGCTCCACAGGCGTCGCCCGCCAGGCGCAGGCGTCGCGATGGGCGTGGCTCCTTTCCTTAAGACTTGCTGAAAGTTGTGCTCGCGAGCTTGACCTCTGGGCTTGTTCACTTTGTCCTTAACCCTTCTGATTCAAGGTTACCTCAGTTTGACTCAGGAGCCATTTGGAGATTTGCCTTAAATTCAACTACAGTATAGGCCAACTAGGCTCTTGGTGCTGTTAAGTTTGTGCAGGAGGGTGAGTTAGAGGATGCCATGTTGTGGTGAAATGAGCTATAAATTTTGGCTCGGCCACTTAAGTTATATTACGTCGCTTCTCCTTACTGGAGCCTTTTCCTCATGAATGAGGGCGTTGGATGACAGTAAATAATGTCCACGTTCTCTATGGATCTGTGTTTTTATTCATACACTCAGCTGTGGAAAAAGTTTAGAGACCCTCAAGTCCCAGCTTTTTGCCATTCTACACCGCCCCCCGTGCGCCCTAGTTCTGTGCCATACGTAATGTCCTGTAGTAGTGTCCCCCTTTCCAGTACCCCAAGAAGGGTTTCAGACCACAAATTTTCTGAAGCTTTCTGGGATTCATGAAGCTTGGTAAGTATTGGAAGGGACTGCTGGTGGTAAACACTTGTACTGTATTTACACTCCTAAAGCAGTTATTGAAACTCAGAAGAGTTAATTTCCAACAGCAGTGGAATAGGCCAGCCAATTGTTCCCCTCTTCCATCAAATTTCCAACCAAGACTGATTTTTTTTTTAGATAGTTATAGTTAAAATTAAAACTTTAGGCAAAATCAACAGTTTAAGCATTAAAAGTTTCCTGAATAGGGCAGCAGTCAAAACCAGAAGTTTTGAGGGGTTTTTTGGTACCTGGGATCAAACTCAGGTCCTTGCGTTTGCGCAGCAGGCGGCAAAACCACTGAGCTAAATCCCTGGCCCCTAAAACCACAAGTTTTAACAGCCTCTGTGCCAGCAGCTTAGCAAGCTTTATAGGTTAAACAGGGAAGTAAAGAAATAAATAAATTGATTGGCTACAGATAGGCTTTGCTTTATTTGGGTATCAAGAAAGTTCTCTAGTTATGTAAGCAATTGACTGAATGATTGAAGATCAATATAAAATTAATCAGTTATGAGGGTTTTCTGGGTACAGAAATACTAATAACCTGTTTGTTTATTTTCATTTAACAGTATCTGCCATTAAGACTAGCAAAACTGGTAAGTAATATAGGAGGTACAGGAGGAGCTAGCTAGCTAGCAGTCCTGGGTATCAAACCCAAGGTCTGGTACCTTCTAGGCAAGTCTTTTACCTCTGAGTTACATCCCCAGCTCAAACTCCAGAAAACACATTCCCTTGCGTATGGAATTTCCTCTAATATATGTCTCTAAAAATGTTTTTTAAAAAATCAAGCCAACAAGGGCCCTTACTCTCCATCCAGTAAGAGGACTAAGAAATTTAATAGTCATCAGAGTTTTTGATCTAGATTGGGATCTGGACTCAGCCTCTTACCAAACAGGCAAATTAATTGGTATCCTAAAGCTTCCTTTTGAAAATAGAGCTCTTAGTACATGGCAGCTGGCTTTTATGTTTGTAAGGTTGGTTATTGAATTTTCAGGGATTTTATAAGCTGCTTGTAAAGCACAACTGTTAAAGTCAAATTTTAATTCAGGAGTGGTGGTGTATGCTTGTAATCCCAGCGCTCTGGGAGGCTGGGGCAGAAGGATCAGAAGTTCAAACCCAACCTGGGCAAGTTAGTGACTTAGCATGACTTTGTCATAAAAATATAAAATACAGCTTACAGCTAGTTAAATTATGTTAAAAACAAAAGTAAGAAATACTCAATTTATCATTGTGTTGAATACTCTATAGATTAAAATGATTAAAATTAGCCAAGTATGGGATTGAGATTAGTAAAGTATAGTTAATGAACTGCCATTGCTGTATGGCATATGTATCCTGCATTACACATGCATTTTTCTTATTTTTATTCTATTTTGGCAAACAGATTAGCTAACAATTTTTTACAAGATCTTGCTTCAATGCTTAATACTATTCAGGAATTTTCACTACTTTCTGTTGAATTGCAGTTAAGATCAACTGAAATGGAAAAAGTAGAAAATTAATTAACTATACCACAAAAGCATTGGAAAAATTAAAGATTAGTATTAGAAAGCATGAATCTGTTTTTTGGTTCTCAGCACCACAAAAACAACCAGAAATCCTATGACTCTCAATTTGGAGATTTGGTTAAGTTGTGAGTTTAAGGACATTGTATTTAATAAAAATATAAAAATAAATGTAAAGCTCTGCTTAGAAATATATTACTGAAAATAATGAATTTATGTCTTACTAGAAATAGCCTGTGTGTGTGTGTGTGTGGTGCTGGGACTCAAACTCAGGGCCTTGCAAGTGCTACGTGAACATTCTACTGAGCTACACTCAACCAGAAACAACATTTTTAATTATTTTGATTTTTTAAGAACTATCTCTATGGCCTTATAAAGAACTTTACCATGAATAACCAGTGGGGGTAAAATGATATCACTTAAAAATGAAATTTTAAAATATAAAATTAATTTGAATGATCTTCAAGTTTTATAGATTATGTAGAATCAATGTTATAATCACTATATAGAAGGCTAAAAGATAGCACTACTTCAATCATTAGTGCTAAAAGCTCAAAAATATTTCATTTTAATGAATTTGTATGAGGAGAATTTGTATGAGGATAGTAGTTTAATTGCAGATCACATATTAGATGGCAAATATTCTGAAAAGATTTAACACTTGTCAAATCTTCATGGTTGAGTTGGAATCATAAGTTGACTGTAGATGCAAGAGTTCAAAAACATCACTGAAATCATGTAGAATCAGCTAGCTGTGAAATTGTGGAATTCACAAGAAGAGTATTTTGTATTTATCATTTCTTTTTTTCTTTTTTTGGGGGGGGCTGGGGATCCAACTCAGGACCTTGTGCTTGCAGACGTGGTGCCACTGAGCTAAATCCCCGGCCCTATATTTATCACTTCTAAGTTGTATGCTACATATATACACGTCTTTTTGGGGGGTGGGGGTTGTTGTTTATTTGGTACTGGGGATTAAACCCAGGACCTTCCCGCTAAACTACACCAATCCTTTTTTCATTTTTTATTTTGAGACTGGGTCTTGCTAAGTCACTGAGTTGCCCTGGCTAGGTTTGAACTTGGAATCCCCCTGCCTCAGCCTTTCAAGACTTCCGAGACTATGGCCATGTGCCACCACACCCAGTTTATACGTGCTTTGTACCAGTAAAAATTTTACAGATTGATGTATGTATATGTATGTATAGATATACACACGTTGTCTTCTTGGAGAGCCAGTTGTTTGTCAGTACCTCAATAAGTAATGTATTTAGGAATAATGTGAAACTCAAATAAGAAAATGTGTACAGTACTGGGAATGTGGCTTAGTGGTAGAACACTTGCCTAGCATGTTCAAAGCCGTGGGTTCAATCCCTAGCATCAGAAAAGGAGAAAAGGATATGTATATAAAATATGTGGTATTGCCTACGATAGAACTGATAAATGTTAATTTTAAGGGGTTGAGGGCATCGCTCAGTGGTAAGAGCACATGGCTAGCATACTTGAGGCCCTTTATTTAATCCCTATCAACTATAGTTTCCTATGAGAATTACAGATTCACTCATTAAGTGGCTTCCAGGAATTCCACAAATGGCATTTCTTACTCATCTGGCAAACCATAAGTAAAATGGCTGTTCTTCCTCTCCATTTAGTGTATAAAGGTGCAATCTATTAAGCATTTGGTAAAATGAAATCACTCACATACATGTCCTTAGGGATAAATCCAAAGAAAAGTCTTTCAAAAATTATCTATAGTCTCAGTGTTAGTGTGATTGCCTACCATGTGCAAGGCCTTGGGTTCAGTCCCCAGTACCACAAACACATACACACACAAACACACACGCACATGCACAGAAAATTATCTACAGCGATGTCAAAGCTCAAAATTACAACAGATTTAATTAAATTGCCTTTTATTTGTGATTCATGTATTGGGGCAGCCTCCAGTCTGTCAAATAAAATGAACATTCCCATTGCACAAGTGCAGGACTGAGTTTTATTGTTCTCTTTTTGTTTTTTGATACAGGGTCTTACTATGTAATTCAGGCTGGCCTTGAACTCACTATGTAGCCCAGGCAGGCCTCAAACTAGGAGCAATCCTCCTGCCTCAACCTCCCGAGTGCCTGGATTACAGGTGTGCACCACAACACTCAGCTGAGGAGTAGGTTTTGTAAGGTGAGAATAAGGCTATGGAATAATAGAAAAACAACTGCTTTAATTGCTTCAGATTATTTATTTGGTAGAGTTTAAAATAGAGGGAACTTCCTTATGCTGACTCAGGTCTGAAATCTGTTTTCAGGGAAAACTGATGTTTTGAAATCTATTTTCTTAATAGTTCAGTTTGAATATGTGACATTTAGCATGAGAGACTCCATTTTTAGTCAGTCATTTTGGTTTGATAAAGTTTGTTGCAGTCACTGCAGGAGTTTAGTGGAAAACAATGGCTTCCCATAATTTTTGTTTTAACAATGAGCAATCTCACATTAAATTACCTGGATTTAGTCTACTTACTGACAAACATTCTTTTCATTTTAGTTGATAGCTTATAAATCAGATCTTGTTTTTTTTTAAATATAGAACACTTAACAAATTTGTATGTCATCCTGGCACAGGGCAATGCTAATCTTCTTTGTATGGTTCCAACTTTAGTTTATGTGCTGCTGAAGGGAGTACCACATGTGTTTTTTGTTATGTAAATATTATTTTCCTTAGAAAATTGTAAAATTGAGAGCAAGATCTGTCTATATTTTCTTCTCCTTGCTTCC